CAGGGCAGGGTGGGATTGAGGCAGAATAGGATGGGATTGGGGCAGGATAGGATGGGATTGGGACAGGATAGGATTGGGGCAGGGTAGGATGGGATTGGGGCAGGATGGGATGGGATTGGGACAGGATAGGATTGGGGCAGGGCAGGGTGGGATTGGGGCAGGATGGGATTGGGGTGGGGTAGGGTGAGATTTTGTTAGGGTACTGTGGATTTAGGCAGAGCAGGGTAGATTTGGATAGGGCAGGTAGGATTTGGGCAGGGTGGATTTGGGAAAATTGGTGGGGTTTGGGTAGGGCAGAGTGAGATCTGGACAGGGCAGGGCGGGATTTGGGGGGATAGGGTGGGATTTGTGCAAGGCAGGGTGGATTTGGCAGGACAGGATGGCATTGGGGCAGGACAGGATGGCATTGGGGCAGGATAGGATTCACTGGGGCAGGACAGGATGGCACTGGGGCAGGACAGGATGGCATTGGGGCAGGATAGGATGGCACTGGGGCAGGAAAGGATTCATTGGGGCAGGACAGGATGGCACTGGGGCAGGACAGGATGGCACTGGGGCAGGGCAGGATGGCACTGGGGCAGGGCAGGATGGCACTGGGGCAGGACAGGATGGCATTGGGGCAGGACAGATGGCACTGGGGCAGGGCAGAACTCACCCCGGGTGCCCCACAGACATCGTGCAGATGCACATCGAGACCCTGGACGCCGTGCACAGGGAGAGCAAGAGGCTSCCTCCCATCCAGAAGGTAGGGAATGCTGTGGGGTGGGCTCAGAGCCCTGGGGGCTGTGGGAGGGACCCTGCTGTCCCCCTGGCAGGCCCTGATCCCCCCCTGTCCCCAGCCAAAGCTGCTGCGCCCCACGCTGCTGCTGGGAGAGGAGTGTGTGATGGAGGGGCTCCGCGTGTACCTGATGCCCGACGGGCGCGAGGAGGGGGCCGGGGGCAGCGTCGGGGGACCCCCCCTGCTCCCCGCCGAGGGGGCCGTGTTCCTCACCACCTACAGGATCATCTTCAAGGGAACCCCCACCGACCCCCTGGGTGAGACGGGG